CCATTCTATGATTCTATGATTCTATGAGTAACATTATGCTCGTAGAAATGTTTGTGTCTTCTTAGCACAGCAAGTAAAAAGTAACTTACTGACTTATATAAATACTGATCTTTGTGCTATTACAGTAGTCCCTATGTTTTACGGAGGATTCTTTTAAATTTTCCAAAACCAATCAATTTTATTTAAAAAGGTTCTTTTAAAGACTAAAATTTCATGTAGGCCTGTGTTATTTCATATGCTTATGTTCTGTTCTTTTATTTTATTTTACAATTGTAAGGGAGTCATAGAAGTATCAAAATTTTATTTAAACTAGTGTATTTTTTTATCAAAACTAGATTAAAATTAGTCAGAGAACACAGTTCTTAAAACTGACATTTTAATAATAATTTAAATAATAACAGAAGTAAAGCTGCGATTAAAATCACAAAAAATATATTGTGAAGAAATTATGAAAGTGTCCACTTTGAACCTTGTAAAATAGCAATAGCATTGAGATTTTAAGCAGCATAATTTTTTCATCATTTGTCCAAGTGCAACGTGAATGTTTTCACTCCATATGCAGCATTTGGATAGAATTTAGAATTTGTAAAGTTCTTGAATTTACTAGGTGAATACAACCTTACCACCACATCACTACTTTTTTCGCTTTAAAGTTGTCTCTTTTTCTAGTTCATCCAAACAAAAGAAAGAAGAACATATTCCTGTATTCAAGACTTAAAACACTTTAGAGAATTTCAGTGCTAAAATATTCAACAGTTCTCACATCTTTTACAAAATCTCTATTTCCTATGAATTAAGAACAAAAAAATCTGAAATACAATGACATTTTTTAAATCGGCTTTGTATCAGGTTCTAGGTTTGGGTTATTTTACAGCTCTGCCCTTGACTAAACATGTGCTGTCATTTTTTCCCCACTCTGTTGTTTATGCAAGCTAATTCTCCTTTGGTTTCTATTGTCAAATTGCCTGAGAATGATTAAAATGTGCCAGTTCCTCCAGTACAGAAAAATTCATGGGAATTACTGAAAGACAGTTAAATAAATATGTAGATAGAGGAATAAATATGTGGTACAGTATGATCATTATCATTTCCAGACCCTTTGCTTCTCAAAAAATGCTGGAAGCAGCCATGAGGATACTTGGTGATACTGATAGCTCAGTGTTAGTTGTTAACATAAGGTCTGAAGCAGGAATTCGGGACTGGAAGAGTCCCTGTTTTCATCAAATGCTCTCTCTCTTGATCTTATATGACTGTCCAATAGATGCCTAATTGAGGAGGATCTACAACATTTCCACTTTCCAGGGAATACAGACTATTACAAGATACTATAACACACTTCAGCTGAAAATCCCCATCTGCAATTTGCCACAGAAAAGATTTTCTCTCAGTATTGGGGAAATTGTTAAATAAGTCTTTAAGATACTTTGCAGATGTGTGCAGTGTTTTTCCTAGTTTTCCATCTGTCTGCTGTAAGGAATTTTGCTTTGCTTTGTCTGTTCTCACCTGCGTTTTTCACCTGCATATTCTTAAATCCTCCTGCATTTTGTCCCTCCTCTGCCTGTGTGTTGTGGGCTGCTGGCGTGCAAAAAGAACAAGAGTGCTGTGGGTGATAAACAGCAAAAGGAATGGAATACGCCTTTGTTGTTGTGTTTGGCTCATGGTTGACTGCATTTTCTTGAACATTTAGATTTTAGTCCAGCACAGTGCTACAGACATTAATTTGGAAGGTGAAGCAGGGAACACACCTATAATTGTGGCATGTTACAAGGATAATCCTGAAGCGCTGACACTCCTGGTAGGTGTAATTATCCATCATTTTTTGATGTGATTCTGTTTGCCTTGATGCAGTGCTATTCTGTTCCTGTGTTCTGTCTTTGTTCAATTGAGGAAGGTTAATCATGGACCTAATATTCAAGTTACTTTGCATAGGCTGCTAAGAAACTTTAATCTTTTAAAAGTATACATAAATATATCTGAGTGGCAAACAGAAAAAACAAACTGATTTTCAAGCTCATCAGAACACAAAATGAAGCACATGTATATATAGATGTATGGCTGTAACACACAAAAAGATGTTTGTGTATAAACTTCACAATTCACGTATAACATAAAAAAAAGGAGATAGCTACCCAGGAGACTGTGTCTGTAATAGTATGTTTATTAGTCAGAATTTTCTGTATGTCATTAAGCGATATCTAGGCATTCTTTTTCAGATTGAAAACGGAGGGAAAATATGTAAACCAAACAAAACGGGAGGTATGCCTATCCATGCAGCTGCATTTTCAGGTGCAAAAACATGTATGGAAATTCTTTTAAAAAAAGGTAAATATGTTGTTCCCAAGCAGCTATTTATTGTAGCATTACCAATTTATTGCTTTAATTCTCAAAGAACTGTACAAACAAGCACTTATAACTGTGACTGAACTTACAAGAAGTTAATGCAATTATTCCTATGAGCAATTCAGGCTAGGAACTTTTGTAGGATTGCAGCAGCGGCTTAACTGCTTACCTAAATGTGTGTCCATCCGCTCTTTAATGACATTTGTGAAAAGTTTGTATTTTGAGGGGGAAGAATATTATTCCACAGTTAATATACTTGTTTTGAAAGCCTTTATATCTTCTGTTATCTTGTTCTCACTTTAAAAAATTCCTTTTTTTTTCATCTCTCAGGCGAAGAATTGGGTCACTCTGCTAAAACCCACATCAATTTTACCAATAATGGAAAGTGCAGTCCACTTCATTTGGCAGTTCAAAGTGGGGACCTCGAAATGATTAAAATGTGCATTGAATTTGGAGCCCAAATTGATCTAAAACAGGTAAAACTCAGAGTGGAGTGAAATATAATTTTAATAAAACTTGGGTATCTCTAAATCTCTGAGCAGTATGGAAAAAAAGTTGAACAGATAATCACTGCTTATTGTCTCTTCCAATGCAAAACCTAGGGAGCAGCAAATGAAAACAAGTCTCTAGTTTGAATCAGGCAAAATGTTGGGTTTCTTTACACAAGTTACATAGGATGTGGCTATGAAAAATTTGCATGGATTCAAAATCTACTTGGGCAAATCCATGGAAGAAGAATCAGTCCTCAACTAATGAATACAACATCCCCTCTGGCTCAGGAAGTCCTTGAGTCATAAACAGGCAAAGCCTGGAAGAGCACTCTGAAAAAGTATCACTGTGGTACAGCCTTCTTCACAAACTCTTTGCTATGCAACTGCTATCATCCCTTCCCAGAAATGGGATCTTCAGCCTGACGCTTTCTCATCTTTCTTGTTTATCCTCAGCCTTGCTCTGACTTGTATAGTATCTTCTTTGTCAGCAAGCACAAATTCACGGTACAACTGCTGCTGCCATGATACTGTTGGTGTAAGCGCCTGTGCTCAGCCTCATGATGAATAAACATTCCTGAAAGCAGCTATCTTTAATCATTTTTTACTAAGGCTGAAATCAGCTCCTGAAAGTAAAGATAAACATGGTTTAGCCTTCTTTCATTGGTTTGATTCTTTGAACACACAGCTTTTGAATGAGATGATTTATGCTGATGATTTTGTGATGGGTAAGACTGTTTTGAGAATGTTTATGACACTGTGGAAAAGCCCATTCTAATGTATTCACTGAAATATTCCTGTTTTAAACAGGAGAAATTCAAAACCCTCGGACATGTATCAGAGCTAGTATCATTGTGCTGGGTTTATGGTGATGTGGTTTGGTAGCAGGGAAGGGGCTACAGGGATAGCCCCTGTAAGGAGCTGCTAGAAGCTTCCCTGGCTCCAGGTTGGATCTGCCTCTGGCCAGGGCCGAGCCAATCAGTGCCTCTATGAATAAACATTTAAGAAGGGGAAAAAGAAACCAGCGCCAGTGAGAGAGGGGAGGTGGGCGGCCCTGGCCCTCAGCATCCCATGGGGATGGCTGCCCATCCGTGCTGGGCCCCCACCACTCAACTGATGATGGACGTGGCAGCGTGGCTTGGAAAACTCTGAAGCACCCTGCTCCCGTTGGTTTGTTTATTCTGCTGGGATCACCAAGGTTCGTCGGGCCAGTCGGGCACAGCACGGCTGCAGTGGGGAGAGCGGAGCGGGATGTAAGAGCAACGACTCTGCAGACACCAAGGTCAATGAAGATGGAGGAGCAGGGGGAGGCATGCCGGAGCTGAGATTCGCCTGCAGCCCATGGTGTGACAGCAGGATGTCTCCCTGCCACCATGGAGATTGATGGTGGAGCAGAGTTCCATCTGCAGCCCGTGAAGGACCTCATGCCAGAGTGGGTGGCTGTGCCCGAAGGAGTTCGTAGAAGACTGTCTCCTGTGAGAAAGGACCTCACGCTGGTAGAGATTAATGTTGGAGCAGGGGAAGAGTGTAAGGAGTCCTCCCCTTGAGGAGGAAGGAGTGGCAGAAACAGCATGGGATGAACTGACCACAACGCCCATTCCCTGTCCCCCAGTGCTGCTGGGGAGGAGGTGGAGGAAGATGTTTTTAAGATCTGATTTTGTTTCTCATTATTGTCTCTGAATGTAACTGGTAACAAATTAAATTGATTTGTCCCCAAGCCAGGTCTGTTTTGCCTGGGGCCGTGGTTGGTGGGTGATCCCTCCCTGTTCTTATCTCAACCCTCAAGCCTGTTGTTACATTTTCTCCTCTTCATCCCACAGAGGCCAGGGCCAGGAGTGAGCAAGTGAGCAGCTGCGTGGTGCTTAGTTGCTGCTTGAGGCTAAACCACGACACCTATCTAGCTAAAGCAAATCCTGTTTTGTCAGATCTTGTTCTAATAATTTATTTATTGCTTAATAATTTTGTGACTGTCCAGCTTACAGTAGTTTATTAACATGTTAGGCCAAGTTATTTTTAACCTGCAGAAAATTTTATTCAAGAGTGACATCTAAGGAAGATTCCTTTTGAGGAAGTCAAAAATACCTTAAAATAATGTACTTTATTACATAGGCACATTTATTTGCTTGTTCGTTTGTACTGGTCTACCTATGGTTTTCTGTAGTTTTCCTTTGCTTCATCTCTTGTATTAATGGGTGCTCTGTGTCTGTTTATTAATTCAACTACCAGAAATTGTTAAGACTCTCTCATATCTTAGAGACTTGGCATAGAATGAGAAGCTTTGTAGTGATCTTTAAAACTCTCTCTTTAGTCTTTTCTGGTTTTTAAGATCTCTTTAAGGTTCCATTACTTTAGTTAAAGATTAAAGTTTCATTGCTTACATAGAAATTCAGGCATTTAGAAATTACAAATCCTGGGTAAGATCACTAGTGTGTTTAGTAGGTCAGGGGTTAGGTTGTTGGAGTTTAAAGGTTTAAATGTTTTCCCATTTACAGAACGAAAAATGTACAGCACTTCATTTTGCTGCCACTCAAGGAGCAACTGAGATTGTAAAGTTAATGATGTCATCCTATGCTGGTGAGGAATCCATTATTGATGCTGCAGATGGGAATAAGGAAACATTGCTTCACAGGTAGGAGACTGCTCTGCCAGACTTCACTCTAACTTGTGAGCCGTTATATTCTTAGTTATTCTCAACATCTAATTATACTTTACATAGTTTACTTTGGAACACCCTTCTGCATGGGTTGGAACTTCTCCATGGAATGAGAGATGGTTTTGGTACAATATGAAAGAATCAGTACTTTGGTCAGAATGTTGAAGATTTTGGTGCTATGCATTTTTTGTAAGAAAGATCTGTCTCACTGCATCTAAGTGTAATAATTTTACAGTGTTATTCTACAAGTAGTTTTACAATATGAAATCATAGAATCATAGAATCATAGAATGGTTTGGGTTGGAAGGGACCTTAAAGATCATCTAGTTCCAACCCCCCTGCCATGGGCAGAGAAATCCTCCGCTACACCAGGTTGCCCAAAGCCTCATCCAACCTGGCCTTGAACACTTCCAGGGATGGGACATCTACAACTTCTCTGGGCAACCTGTTCCACTGCCTCACCGCCCTCAATGTAAAAAATTTCTTCTTTATATGTAATCGGAATCTGCCCTCTTTCAGTTTAAATCCACTGCCCCTTGTCCTATCACTACATGCCCTTGTAAAAAGTCCCTCTCCAGCTTTCCTGTAGGCCCCCTTTAAGTACTGGAAGGCTGCTATAAGATCACCCCGGAGCCTTCCCTTCTTCAGGCTGAACAGCCCCAACTCTCTCAGCCTGTCTTCATAGGAGAGGTGCTACAGCCCTCAGATCATCTTCGTGGCCCTCCTCTGGATTCTCTCCAGTAGCTCCATGTCCTTCTTGTGTTGGGGACTCCAGAGCTGAACACAGTATTCCAGGTGGGATCTCACGAGAGCTGAGTAGAGGGGCAGAAATAATAGGTAGAACATCAGAGGCAGTGGAGGTGATAGTTCTTTGGTCACTGTATAAAGTGGAATCATTCTAAGATAATTGAAGAAGTTGAAAAGGGAGTATGTTGTAAAGTTAAGATAAGGTTTGGGTACACTTAGACATGCTATCACGATAGAACAGGATTGAAGACAAATTGATGACAGAATGTCAAAGAAAATTGTGCAGACGCAACATACTACTTCATAGATAACTGGCTGTCATACCCATGAAAATGATTGTCCTTGGAAAAAGCTTTGAAAAAGAATGACACTTTTATTCCCTGTGTCTGTGAAACAGAAAAAAAAAATTAAGAATCATCAGAAAGGTTGAAAGTCACCCAAATATCTCAGAATATAAATAAACTGAATAGAAATGTTAGCTTGTTGAGAGGTGAAGGAGTAGTGAAGCATAGGCATTGATCCTTTCATATTCCTACTGTCATGTTTGCTTCTAAATATTTTAGAAAATGACTGCACTTTCTCTCCAGTTGCCTTGGAATTTATTGTGAGTGTGTGTGAAGCATTCAGTATTTATGCCTGGCTGGAGGGGCCTACTATAGGTAACGGAGGCATCTCTACTTATTTGGAACCATGACATGATTTTTAAAATACATCTTTTGAGTAACCAGCTCTAACTATAGTACACCCAGTGTTGTTGCTTCTTATAATGCTGAGGGAACTGTTATCTTTGACATAGAGTGCAACCTTGGAACTGTCCTTCTGTGTTGCTAATTGAGTCAAAATATTTTATGGGGGTCTGACTTGTGAAAACATTTAGAGTGTGTATTAACTGTGCTATACATCCTGCTTTGACCGTTTTTTCCCATAATATATAATTCAGTGTCTTATTATAGAAGAAAACCTGATAATTTTTCACGTGTATAGACAGCTTTAAAGTATTGTTAGTGAATTAATATGTGTCACCATGATTTATATCAGTATATTTTTTTATATTTTTTTCAACTAGACTTGCTTGCCACAGTCAGAATACATGTTCAGCCATTGCCATTTTAATCCCACTCTAGTATTATTACACAAAATATACAGCATGTTATTTTTGAAGATGGGATCAATGAAATGGATTTGAGGCTCTAGGTCTGTGTGGAACAGAGTCTGAAGTTTCTGGAATTCTATATTGACCTTGTGTGGTACAACAAAAGACCTGAAATGTGAAATTACTAGTTCTGTTAAAAATCAGTGGTAAAATGCCTCTTGACCTGTCAATGAGATCCTTGTTTCCCGCAGTGAGTTTTCAATGTATTAATTGAACTGAACTTAGTTTAAAATCAAAACTCCATGATAAAAATGGAAACAATGTATTAAAATTAATTATGTAGTAAAGGTATCTCTCTGTCTCTTGATTTTAAAATGCATTTGTTTGAAAATATTAATAAAATGCAGCAAATGGAGAAAAATGCTACCCTTTGGCTTGAAACTTCCTTGTCCTTTCTAATGTTACTGTATTTTTGCATTTTTCCCCACAGGACAGCATTGTTTGATCATTATGAACTGGCAGAGTATTTGATTTCAATGGTAAATATTTAATCAGCAACATGTTTCTAAAAATTATTGCTATCTATTACTACAGATCTGTATAGAGAAATTCATAAAGGAGAATATTTTCTCAGGTATAGGTTGTTTAGAGATATATATATTTCATAATGCATAATGGGCAGTTACAGTACAACAGTGGTTATGGCTCCATAATAGCATCCCACAGTTACAGAGGATGAAAATTTGCATTTTTATTTCCATTTTACTTACTCAGAAAGGTTTTATAAACATATTTTACCAAATATGACAAACTGGTTCAATCATCCTTGCTTTTAGGATATGAAATATTAAATAAATGCTAAACATGCATTGAATTTAATCTGAGTTTTCCATAAAGAAATAATTTCTTTGAAGTATGCAAATACGATTGTTCTGGGATCATATAGCCATATATTGAAGTTTGTGCATGATCTAGAAATATTTTTTACTCTGTGAAGTTCAGTTGTGTTTCTTCACTGAAGAATTATGAGGGAGAAAGAGGAAAAAATGTAACTAGGGATGTTGCTGGCTACGATCCAAGTTTCCATTTATACGAATTAAACTAAGGCTCGTGTAACCATTATGTGCACCACTCTGATGAGGAAATTTTCAGAAATCGGCAGACTTCTTTTCCATTTTGTGTATGTTTAGGTTTTTTACTTAATTTCATGACAATTATATTAAGAAAAATTATCTTACAGTTTTGCTTTTCTCAGAAATTCTGTTATAGGGATGGGATTTAGTCAGAACTAGATGTTGTGTTTATTTTTAATTCAAATGTGAAATGGTGAGGTTTGACAACTTAAACCTGTTTGACAGTACAGCCTATCTACAGAAGTTACTGATAAATACAGGCACAAGTTTTTGCATCTAGAGGCTTGTGTGCATAAAGTATTAAAGAGAATATCTTAAACACTGCATTTGCTAAGAACAAGCTGTTATTTTTTAAATGTCATTTTGACTGTTTTGGCCTCTCTCAACAAAATCTGTGCTGAGGGTTCATTTGGCTTTCCATATAAAGTATGTCAGTTCTGAAATTTTAGGACCGTTTTCATGTGCCCTGTCTGGGAATGGATCAAAACGCACCAGTTGGGGTCAGTGGGATGCAACACTCATGGCAAGATCACTAGCTATTGCCTGTGCTGTGGTGTACACCAGGGTGAAAAAGAAAAGGTGGAGCAGTGTTACGGCTCAAAAGGAATAGCAAATTCCAGTTCAGAATGACTTTCTGGTTTTGACAAAGAACAAAATGTATTTGTTTTATACATTAAAGATCCACGTTTCATGCACATTAATTTGCAATGATTACTTCCTTTATCCTATTTTTTGGCACTTTTCGTGTCTGAAAATAAAAGCCGTTGTAAACAGATACAGTGTTGCATCTTGCTCTTCTAGATAGAACAGGTAAGATTAGCTGTGCTAAACAGAATTGTCCAGGCACACGATGTATGCTGTTTATATTTAAATTACACCTTTTTTTTTTTTTGTAAGTTATAGGTCAATGTGCTGCACAAAATTCAGAGAATCAAACTCTACAGATTTTTGTTTCAAAGTTTTTCATTATTTTGCATTTGGCTTCAACATAACATAGCGACGAGTAGTACATGCTTTTGTTTTGGTGAGATGTACAGCTATGGTTTGCCATAACTGAAGGCTAACCAAAGCCTTAGAAAAAGGCAAAATAAAGAAACCCAGATCAATAATCCCAACGTCTAAACATTGCAAAACTGCACAGCTCTAAAGAAATGCTACTTACCATTGGCTTGCAAATTAAAGCAATTAATAATTAAGCCACCCTGAAGTCAAAGTGGCCATTGTCACATTTGACAATTAGGTGCACAGTGTCGGGTTTCTCCATGCAAATGATGTATTTACAAGTTATGTACACAACTATAAAGAAGAATAAAGACATGAAAATCAGGAAGTTCTCATGATTTAGCTAGTATCTTAGCAATTTCCCTGCATCTTTTAGTGTTTTTTTTCCTTGCGTACTGGACAATTTAGCATTGACATGTCTGGTGCTTCCTGAGTTTACCTCATTAATTTTATTGAAACATGCTTATTCAAAGTAAAAAAGCAGTAATTTTACACATTTTCTTCCTTTTTTTTAAATTCATTTTCCCCTCTTTTCTCCTTTCGCCTTCACTAAAAGAAAAATGAAAAATTAAATTGGTTTAAATACTAATTGATAAATACAAAAATTGCATAATATTTATTTTTTATTAATGTCTGGTTAATTCATCTATATTAATGTATAAATGCAAAAGTAAAAGAAGTTCAGAAACTAAATTTACAAACTCTTAATTCAGCTGTATCGTAAATATGGTAAATATATGTGGCAAAATGTAAGTTACTCCTTATTGTGATAAATAATGATGAATACTGCTGAATTCATTTTGCTGAAGGCTGAACAATGATGTTAGCTGGAGGGAAGGTGATTAAAGATTTCATTATTAACTGGAAATTACTGCCCTGTATTCACTGAAATGAATGAGCCACTTGGATAAAAATGGTCTCTGTTTCTTCAATGAATAAGAGATTGTCCGACCTTGTAGAAAGGTAACTGGGGAAAGGGTCATGCATGTTTTACTCAAACATTTCATCAACATACATTGAAAGCTTCCTGTTCCCTGTAGGAAAGTAATCATTGTACTTTTATTAAATGTTTCTTATTACTACACTGCAGGTTTTACCATCCTAGAAAGTAAATACTGCTTATGATTATGATTAATTCTCTCTCAAATTAAGACTGGACCCAAAGATGATTTCAGTTAATGGAAAAACTCCCATTGATTTTTTTTTTTTTCAATGATCTTTGGATGTTATCTGAAATAAAATAGATTTTTTGTGTACTTTGTCTAACTCATCCAATTAGACTTGCAACTTGATATCTAGAAAAATTATATCTAAAACATCATAAAATATATGTACATCTTATGGGTTCATTTACTTGTATCTTCATACTCCCTTGTTGGCAGGATTTTTTAGATAGATATATTTATGCTCATAGTATTTTGCTAGTATGATCATAGTGATACTGTGACCATAGTGAACATATGGTCCTGGCAATACACATCTTGTGCAAATATAGACAAAATAGCGAAACTTTTACTAGAATATCTCATTCCAGTCCTTTTGCTTCCCCTAAGGAGAAAGGTCATATCAAAAAACTTGAGTTTGGAGAATAAAAATGTGCCTGCTGTTGATGCAGCTACTTCAGCGTCAAAATTTACTTGGCTCATACAGCTTATGATGAAGAATAGAAAATGAAGGTAGATCAAGCTACACAGATTGAACTATACTAATCTCTGGATGCATTACTTCTTGAAGAGTATTCATGTAGTGTAGAGGTTCAGAAGGGTCTTGTTCTGGTTATTGTTTGATAGGAAAATCATTCAAAAGAGGTGCAATTTTTGTATTTTTCCAGAGCTTCAATCCCAGTATTTTCAAGTTAGAATTACGTATTTTGAGTATTTAAATGCATGGAAAGGTACCCTAACAAAAGATCATGGGTTGTGAGTTCAGTATACCTAGAAGTAGGCCACTGTTATTTAGGCATCTGAATTCATATATATAGGTGACTTGTGCTGAGGTTAATATTTTGAAACCATAGTAGTTTTCTATAGAAATGTAATGTGTTTATTGAACTAAATTAGCTGGAGCATCTGGAGTTACTAAGAATGCCTGTAATTCTGCTATGCTTGTAAATGGCAGCACCATTTTAAAATGTCCTTTATTCATTATTCATGATAAACTTGAAATTTTTTATTGCAGGGGGCTAATATTGATAGTGTTGACATAGAAGGTCGATCCCCGCTTCTGTTGGCCACTTCCTGTGCATCATGGAAAATTGTGAATTTACTGCTCTCAAAAGGTAAAAAGGAATATGCGCGTATGATCTGCTTCCTTTGAGCAGGGTTCATACACATTAAAACTCTGCATCTAACTTTCCTTTCAGTTTCAGTTCAGTACTTCAGCATACAGTCCAGGAGCAGCTGAGCTTACAGCTGCAAAGTGCTGGTATCCTCTGAGATAAAGGAAGAATTAGTGTGATGATTTCACCCGTTTAAATACAGAGTGAAGAGGCTGTAGAAAAATGTGTATGCCATGTGTCACGCTTCTCAAGATAGAGGTGGCACTGGCACTCCATCCCTGCATTCCTTAGCAGTTCACAAAGTAAGCAGAACTGTGGAATAAATACACCACATATACAAAGTCATGTTTCATACCTAGCAATAAATCTTTAAATGTTAAAGCCCATATTTCAAGCATTACCTGTGATTTTCATATGATCGCAGTCACCTTGAAAATGTTTGAGCTATGTCTTTCAATTGTTACACTTTAGGTACAACCAAATTATTATTACTATAGATTTCCTCTCATTAATAGTAATATAACTGATTTTGTTAGTAAGCCCTGTACTAAATTTTGAAGCTGTAACAAGATTATAACTTTAAAAGATTAGAAGAGGTGATCATCTGCATCTTTAATCTACCTCTTGATTTGCGGGTCCTCAAAGTGCTCCACATAAATCTTAGTGCTGCAATGAAATACAAAATACATATGCACATGGGATAACAATGAAATCTGAGTGTCAGTAAGAGTTTTTTTGTAAGTAAAATTATATGTTATAGTGTTGATTTGAAATAGTATTTGTTATTTTATGGATTTGCAAACACATTTGTTCAACGTTTGTTCCTTTGTCTTAAACACCACTAATTAGTGCCAGGGGCCAGCAGTTTTGAAGTTTCTGGTATTTATTTCCATATTCATCTAGGAGCAAATGTATCATTAAAAGATCATCTTGGTCGAAATTTCTTGCATTTGACGGTATTGCAGCCTGGAGGATTACAGCATCTGAATGAGAAATTTCTGCAGGTACAGTAAGCATCAATTTATGCCTTTCTGTTACCCTTACTGGAAAATGTAAAGAAAAAAAGCAGCTACCGTTTTATTTTGGAATGTTTGTAAAAGTTTGTGATACTTGTTAAGTTGCCCAGTGTCACAGAAAATAGTTTGAAGAGGTACATATCTCTCACAAAAACATTTCAAAGCAAATAATACAGTTTTCTTATTGCCAGGCAAAGGAATAACATAATCCCATACATTATTTTGCTGTTGGGGGATTGAATAGCTCAAGAGGTAGGCAATAAAATACAGAACTTTTCACTTCTGTTTTCCCAGCTTGCATGCAGTAAAGCTAGGGGACATGATCATATTCAGTCAAGCTCTAGGACTTAAATACCTTACAGCATATTCTGCAGGAGCTTTCTGTGGACTGGACTGTAATGAAGTCTTGGATTTCATTTTAAAAAGGATTTAAAACATGGATTTGTATTTGGCTATACTGAGGTGAAGCACTCATATTGGTAGAGCCCAAACTGGCGTTAAATTTGCTAGCCCTGAGAGCTCCAGAAACAACCTTTTAAATGTGAATTGAATATAACTGATCTTACAACATCTATTGAAATCTGTAAACAACTTTGATTAGTAATCCAGAATGGATTTAATCTCCCTTTTTGTCAGATGTAGAGAATCAGTTTTAAACCAGAGTGATAACTCTCAGTTGTCTGCATTGACTTTCTAATTATTGATCATACTAATAATTCAGACAAAGGAGTGCAGCAGACCAGGGGAGGGGATTTTTAGTTGCTTTAAGAAAGGCTATACATAAGATAGTGTTAAACAGGGTACAGAGGGACAACAAGGAAAAGAAGATGAGAAAGAGAAATGGGGGAAATAAAATTACACTGTAAACCAGTGAACTGATGGTTCTTGACAGCCAGAATTTTTGCTACTGAATACAGACTATAGACTACCCTTATGTTCTGTACAAGCCTTCTGCTGACAGCGATGAGTATTATGGCTGAATGGCAGCAAAGAAGAATCTCCTGTATTATGCTTGTACTGTGGATGGATTCTAGTAAGGGTGCAGAGTGGCAAACTGCTGTGTTCTTCGAAGAGTAGTTGTTTGAAAAACTGGTGACCCACAAATCAGCAGACATTAAATGCTCATTGTTGCTAAATTTACTTTTCCTAAAGTTTGTTTCTTGTTTCTAGATACTACTTTAAAGTATTAATGCTATTGTTACAAGCTATTAGAAGCTGTGGAGCATTAGTGGTATAAATGTAATTCTGTGCTTTTGGGTTTTTTTTGGGGCGTGACAGATGGAACATATTAAAAACCTTGTAGTGGATGAAGATAATGAAGGATGCACTCCATTGCATTATGCATGCAGACAAGGTGTGGCCCTGTCTGTAAATAATCTACTCAGCCTCAACGTTTCCATCTACTCTAAGAGCAGGGACAAGAAGTCGCCGTTACACTTTGCTGCCAGGTTAGTAGTGCAGTCTAGGCAATGGAATCGATGCCATTTTTTCTATCCATATGTTTTTGACATTAATTTCTATGTTTATTTTTCAAAGCTATGGACGCATCAATACATGTCAACGACTTATAAGAGATATGAAAGACACAAGACTTTTGAATGAAGGTGATAAGAAAGGAATGACTCCACTTCATTTGGCAGCCCAGAATGGTCATGAGAAGGTAGTTCAGTTTCTTCTGAAGAGAGGGGCCCTTTTTCTCTGGTAAGTATCCACATTTCCGTTCGTTAAGGCAAAAAATAACTATCACCCTACATCATATGTCCATCTGCTGGGAAGTTAATACAATATAAACATAAATGTAAATATAAATAATGTGAAGATATTTAATACATTAATATATACAAATATAAGTGTACAATATAAAAGCATATTTATAAAATATTTGTAAAACTAAGCCTATTATGCTTTGCTTCAGCCTGACACGTAGAATCATGGCTAGCTGTAAAGCAAGGCTTCTAATGCTGGGGAAACTGAAGTTTCTCTAAATGCAACTAAGAGAAGAATATTGAACCTTTTGATGGAAAAAATATTGTTTTGAAAATATTACAATCATGTCAGCTTCACTTACAGGCTTAAGTAGGGGTTCTTAGATGCGGTGGTTGGCAGGCGTTTCACTCTTAAGTCCTGATTTCAGGTCAAAGATCCTCAGATCTTTGCAGCTCTGCAAAAGCTTCCAGGCTCACACCTGTAAAGCCAGAAGCCACAGCTACCAAAAGTTTAGAGTTCTGTTTCCAAGGTACAGTCTAGAGCTTTACCTTTTAAGTCCTGTGCTTCCAAGACCACTGCAGCTGCACTTTAGAGCCTAAGTATTCTGACGAGATCCTGTAGCAAACAGACCTGTCGTATGTTTGGTATTTGTGACTGTGGAGGACCCACTAAATGGACTACTGTCAAACCCTTTATTTCCAGTATCCTTAGCTGGACTAGTACACCTAGCAAGGATAGAGATGGTAATATACATTTTTGTATGTGTGCATGTATGTATATCTATGTGTACACAGGTATGTGTGTATGTATTTAGGCTTAATTTATACTTAAATCTGGCATTTTTTAGAGAAATGTCCTGGTGGGTTGCATGTGATAAAAGGCTTCCTGAGTTTCATTATACTAAGATGAAGTGATACTAATAGGAACAGGTTTGTGTGCTTATAACGTTTTGTATATTCACTGTCTTTAAACGCAAAATTCCATAATATGGCCACGATCTATTCCACGTCTGTTGCCAAGTATTAATAACAGAATATTGCAAGCATTTGTGTCATTTTCAAGAGACATATAAGAAAATGGGCGCAAACTAGATATGTACAGAAATAGAGAAGAAAAGAAAGAGGGAGACCCAAATACTGTTCCTGAGTTGAACCTTTTACTTCTGAATGATGCATTGATAATTACATAATAGTTGGCAGAAGGCATGGACATCTCCGCAGTAGTCATGCCAAAGAAAAGAGGTTTAAGTCAAAGGAGGAAACGTTTACATTTACTTTAAATTTATAATAGTTTTCCATTTATAATTACTAATTTTATACCACTACTTGTAAGTGATTATAAAGGCTGGACAGCCCTGCACCACGCTGCCTTCGGAGGATACACTCGCACAATGCAGATCATTTTGGATACTAATGTGAAGTGTACTGACAGAGTGGACGAAGAAGGGGTATGTGTTCACATAGCGTTATTTGTTTCTTGTCTGCTGTTACTTCTAGACCAAACATCAGTGGTATGCTATTAGTAGTTTTCCACTGTGCATTACATGTGTAATATTTCATTTCCTGTGGCAGATTTGAAGTATTTACATTTCAACACTGTTAAAGTTTATTGCTTAGATTAGTATATGACTGCTGAAATTGTTATCCAGTTCTTATAAGTGGGAGAAAAAAATGCAAATAGCCTAATAGAAAACATAAAATAACGATTATGTTAGACATATCCCTCTTGCCCCCTTTACAATGCAAAAGTATTTTAACAGTGTAGTACAAACATTGGTAATTTAAATTTAAAGAGCTTATACAGATTAAAAAATATCCACTATTTTTCATATCCAATATGAACCACCGCCCACTGTACTTGAAGAGC